CTGCCTCCAGCCAGGCCCTCTGTATTTGTGCACAGGTTGGAAAAGCCCCGGCCTCCACGGGGTCCAGAGACTCCTGTTTATTCGGGGGGCTCACACGTGGAGCCGGATGGGCAGGTGGATTGTGCACACACAGCTCATGCATATTCTGTAAGGGCTCCCTGCCTCATGAAGGTAGGAAGTTTTGGCTCCGTGTTTCCTGCAGCCCTGGGGGAGGATTGTGCCCCCTTTCCCGGTCCTGGTTTGGTGTGTGTGGGGGGAGCAGTGGGGGGGATGAGGGGTGGGAGGGATGAGGGAGGGCATGAGCCCTCCAGTTTTTGCCTGCAGGCCTCCCTGCCTCAATCACAAACCACCCCCCCAAGCCTCCTTCCTGCCTCTTGCGGCCTCAAATCCTGTCCCTTCTCCAAAGGGTTTCAAGCTGTCAGCTGCTGTTGTCCCCAGTGGGTCTCTACTGACCTGCCATTCTGTCCCAGTGAAAGGGCTGGAGCGCTGGGGGTTAGTTCCCACCCTTTTGCTAGTTCTCTTTGTCTTTGGAATTTGCACTTTTCAAGCTGTGTGTTTATTCTCACACTTGGCTTAATAGAGCGTGGTACTGTTTCCAGTCCAGTCCTTCCGCTGCTCGTAGTCTTCCCAGGCTTGGGGGAACACAGGTGGAACGGGCAGGTACGGGGTGGACAGCGGCCAGCCCCTCTGGGTTGGTGGCCGCTCGCTGAGCCTCTGTTCCACGGGCGTTTGAAAGTGCAGCGAGTGTCCCATCATGGCCCGCAGAGATCATGAAGCTGCTGCTACGATACACTAATAAGTGCTCCCTGCCACTTTTTCCCAAAAAATGAAGTATGAACATATTATTGTTATAGGTAACAGAATTCAAAACTAATTTTTTTTGTTAGTTTCTGTCAGCTGTTTCTGGGTTGCTTTGTGGTTTTCGAGTGCACGTTCTATACTCCAGCGGCAGAGACTCATCCCAGAAATGAATGGTGTGAACCAGTGAACACAGTCCCCAGTGAAAATCGCATGTGTGTGGCTCCATGAAATTTCCTAGGGTTAATTAGCTGAGAAAAAGAGAAAGTGGAACAGTCTCTTCATCTCCAAACGAGCTCTTAATATGTGCTCACTCTGCCCCTGCTACCTTGGGTCTGGACATGAAAGGAGGCAGCGGGGGTGGGGGGGGGTGGGGGGTGGAGCTAGGGAGGGTGCACAGGGGCAACGGCTCTTCACAGGCAGGGGAACGAGCAGGAGAAAACCCGGGAGGTCTGGGGAGGCAGCCTCTGCTGAGGGGCCCTGGGAGTGGGGTGCGGGGGACCTGCCGGAGAGCGGGAGGCTAGTGGGGAGGGCAAATGTGGGCAGCAGGAGCTCCAGCTCCTCCCCGGGCGAGCGGACTGGTCTGTCTTCGCCGCTTTCCTGTCCCCGCCAGTGGCACGGCCACCCTGCCGGCTGCCCTCACCTCGAATGGTGAGACGCTGACCAAGTGGTTATAAGCACAGGTTCCACAGCAAGACAGGCCAGGGTCCAAGGTCTGGCTTTGACCCTTGCTACTTACTACCTGAGTGACCCTGGACAAGTTCCTTAGCTTGTCTTAGCCTCTGTTTTCTCAAGTGCAATGTGACAATGCTAGGACCTTCCTGGTAGGCTTGTTGAGAGAATTCAGAAGTGCTTAGGCCATTGTTAGCGTTCATCCTTCACTCATTCCTCTCTTACTGCACATTTTAAATTAATACCAAGTCCTCGAATTTGCACTTCTGCATCTTGCCATGGGTGCCCTGCGTTGTAAGGACGACGTGGCACACACCCCAGGAGACAAGCTCTCAGCGGCGGCGCAGTTGAACATGCAGACAGTGTTATTTTATAATGGAATTTTACTGTTTGAATAGCTGCAAATGCCTGAGGCCATGATTCTGCGATAATTACCATATCTTTGAGAACTTTCTGCGCCATCAGTGAGAAAATAGAATTTAAAATCACCAAACAAAATTGTCTTGAGAACCTAGTTTTTTCTGAGCCGGTTGACTCATCTCTAAGCCCGCCTGCCGATAGAAGGTGGCACTCCGGTTCTGCCGTGGCAATAACTCGCTTGGCTTCCTCGAGTTACCTGGTGTTCTGCAAGAAATAAAAGTCTGTTTCACATCTCCAAATGCTTTTATCACATCTCAGTATTCACTCTGCTATAAATACAGTGAAACCCAGCGAAACAGCCTCCAGTACCCGGAATGTGCGCCCCGTCCCCAGGAGCAAACCGCTGTCACAACCACCTCATTCAGAGGGGAGATGAGTCACCGAGGTCTCCAAAACCCCCTTTTTAAGTCTGCTTTAATCAGTTTGTGAATGGACTTTGGGAGCCCTTTGACTGCCTCATTTCCATGACATTATTCTCAATGTAACCCGTGTCCTTGTTATTCAGTCTTTTCTGAGGCTCCGGCTCTGACCCTGCTGTACCGCCGCCAGCTGCGTCGCTGCTGCCGTAAGGAAACCTCAAGTGCTCAGGTTTCCGACCTACGGCTTTGGACGTCCTCTCCTCAGACTCACCTAGTTCTCTCTTGCTCCTACCTTTTGCACATGCTGTTCTCCCTGCCTAGAAAATTCCCTCTCTACCCAAACTCCCCTTGCTTCCTAACGCCTGCGTATCCTTCCAGGTTCAGTTTGTACACCATTTCCCCAGGAAGCACCCCCTGACTCCCAAATCAGAGCTGGCTGCCGCTCTCTGCCGGGCCCTCCCACACCGTCTGTGCTTCCCAAGTTCACAGGACTTACACATTACACTCTGATTACCCATTTATCTCCTTTTACCACCACAAAGCAGTAACTCTGAAACAGGACCACATCTGTCTTGCTCACCATTGCATCCCCAATGTCTAGCAAACTGCCTACTTATAATGGGTGCTCCTTAAATATTTAAAGAAGGAACACATGAGTAATTTGACAGTAGGTAAACCATAAAATATTTTTATCACTGCCTTATAAGATCCTCAAGTTCTAAGCAAAGTACTTAAGAGAGTAACATCTAATGAAGCATTTTAAATCTGAGATAATTACAAAGTCAATCAGAATATACCCACTTTTAATTTGAGACAAGTTTATTCATTTAATGGAGTTGACTAAATAGAAACTCAAATAAGTGCTTGCTAATTATGCTAATTAACAAATCGTTGAATTCATATGTCAGATCAAATGTACTTTCTTAGAAATTCCTTTGCCAGGTCAAATCCTAAATAAACTTTCTCAGAACTACGAGCCTTTACATTTAAAAAAGACATCCTCACCCAAAGATATGTTTATAGATTTTAAAGAGAGAAAGCAGGTAAGAGGGGGCAGAGAGAGAAAGAGAGAGAAGGAGGCGTCGATGTGTGGCCTTCTGTAGGCACGCCGGCCAGGGGTCAAATCCGCAGCCTTGGTAGACGGGGCAGCGCTCCAACCACCTGACCCGCCGGGCCTGGGCCCTTCACAGTTTTGAAAAACAATTTGATTAATCTGTCAAATTTCTCTAGAACGCAAGCCCTGGGAGGACAGGAACGACACCTGATTTTGCTCATCACTGTAGCCCCAGGGCCTGGTACAGAGTCTTAGAAATAATCTCTTCTGAGAAACACTGAGACCAGATAGAAAACTCACCAGAGGAGCCCCTTTTCCAAAGGGCTTTTGTTGAGTTCAACAAATTACACCCATGATTCTGATAACCCTGAAAGGTGGCAGAAATCACCTCACACAGGGTGGGAAGGCCAACAAGAGATGCTCCTTCCAACAAAGTTGAACCCAATAGTTGTGCAATGAGAATGAACTGAAAAAGATCTACCCTTTAAGAGGACTTTAAGTCTGGCTTAACCTGGGTAACCCGCAAAACGCTAGCAAGGCCTTCAAGAACCAGTGTGTCTGGCACTGCTCCCTACTGTTTCCTCCGGCCGCCTTCACGCTCCCCTTTCCTCACTTCACACCAGCCCCGCTGGCCTCCTCGGTATTCCTCAGACACGCCAGAGACCCTCCCACTTCTGAGTCCTTGCTCTAACAGTTCTGTCTAATTCTCAGCTCGGTGTGCGCGGAGAAAATCGGCTCAGTTTGGGAGTGGCACCCAGGCATTAGAATATTTCTTATATGTCCCTTGTTTCTTGAAAATTATCAGGGATCATTTCAGTCTTTCGTAGATAGTTGTTGAACTGAGTCATGGGTACATGCAGAGCCTTATGCTGTTCTCTCAACTAAACGTAAAACAAAATAAAAACGTCTCCAGTGATTCTTATGTGCAACAGGGTTGAGAAGCATTGCCCTATAATCCCCAAAGTAGATCATTCTGCCCATGAATATAGTGATTGAGACATTTCTATTTGAAAGGCTGTCTTAATGAATTAAAAAGATACTCAAAGATGAAAATATCAAATTTATTTTCAAAAGTACAAGAGAAAAGAAATATACATTTGAATTCACTTTGCAATACACGAGTGTAGTAACAATAAAAACACTGGTTCCATGTTCTGTTCTTCTCGACTTAACCCCCAACCCATGTGGCGTCCCCAGGAAGGGGAAGATCCTGGCCCTTGGTTTGCAGAGCCAGACACCTAGCACGAGAACATGGGGACCGTGCACCCCAGATGCCATCTTTGTAATTCAAGGCCAAGGCTTGTTAACAGTAATGCTCCATACAGATGAAAAGTGAAGGGCTTCCTACTGCCAAGTTACCCCAAAGCTCTCCAATGGCAGCCACTTCCCATTCGAGGTCTTACCACTTTCACTATTGCTTAGTGTATTTTGGTCTAAATACAGAGCATGGAAGAATGAAATTCTCTTCAGCTATAAATGAACTAATATCTAAACCTGAAAATATTATCAAAGGTGATACCTTTTCTGTTTTAAAAATAAACCACCCAAATGAATTTATTGGTGTGAAAGATACGCCTGACAAAGAAAAATCGAACCATTACCCTATTTTGCCGTAATAATGAGAATCCATAACAGGCTGACTGAGGACTTGGGAAGTGGAACCCCGTGCGTTCTCTCAGGAATGGCTATCAGGGTGACTAGATTTGCTCTGAGCTCCCCTCAGGAGGCGGGGGAAACTGCAAAGCCGGGCCTGTTTGCAGGCTATTCCCACCCAGGCTTACCAGGTGGCTATTGATGACCCCGAGCTCTTGGATCACCAGACTCAGATCTTCGTGTAGTTTGACTATGGCGTTTTTTACCTCTCCTAGAAGAACCTGAATGGAATTGTTAGCTTCAGGTTCCTTGGGCAGGCCTTCAGTTTCCTGAACTCTAGAACAGGTGAAGCGGCCTACATTTTGGGTGGAAAATTCGACCCAATTACTGCGGGACATAGGACTTAGCGTCTTCTTGGCAGAATCTGAATCATCTGGAAGAACGTCCAGTGGACTGGAGCTGTCCGTTTCTTTATCAGAAGACCCTGGGCCCCTCGGGACAAAGGGGTGACGCGCGCTGGCTGTCTCATCTTTATCCGCAAAGGGACCTAGAGCAGACCGCCGATGGGCCAAAGCCCAGAAGGAGGGTCTGGCCAAAACCGGGGGCAGGAGAGGAGCAGACTTTTCTGGAGTGGCCGAGTCAGGAGATGACATGGATAAAGTGGAGAAGGACGACGTTACCTCGGAGGTGGTTGAAACTAAAACGTATAAATGAGAAAGATTATGCAATATACAGATGAGAGTAATGGCTAAAATAATTTTATAATGTAAGATCCTATCCAAAAGGTCTCAAAATAAATACACTACTTAGAATTTTATATGCTAAATAATCACAATAAACCTAAATAGACCCAGAGTGGGAAATGGAGAAAATCTAAAGATGTATTATATATCAATAAGACCACAGAATGAAACTAAAATAAAATCATCAATATTCATCTTCACTCTCAGATCCTGACTAACATATTTTTACACTTCACTTACCAGAGAGAGCAGAAAATGAAAGTATTGCACCCTGTTCTACTGGTGGCATTTTAAGTTAGCATTTCAAATAGAAAATGTGAGAAACCTGCAACTTAGATTCCTTCTCCCTTTTTATTTCTACAGAGATACTATGGCAAAATGAACAACCAACTACAACCAGCAAAGTTGGGAAACTAATTTTTTCTTCTCAATAGTCAAATACAGTCAAGATTGAAGTCCAGTCCACCTGAGATTCAGGATACTAGAACCTGAATAGAATTTTTCCACAAGAAACAATACATAAAATAAAAAGCATTCTGAACTTATTTTCCACAAAATTAAAGGTTTAACAACATTTTAACTTCCTTTCAGGTAATATCATATTAAATGTCTTCTTTCACATTTCATCCTAAACCACTATTTCCCAAGCTGTGTTCCAAGGAAAACCGTCTTCCTGAAGGTGTAGTGTAAGGAGATGTCTGTGAAAACAGTGCGTCCAAGTCCAAACGGACTGGGCGATTGCCTATTATACCTCCCCTTAGGGGATTAACAACACCCATCAGTAACCTATTCAAGAATTTTTCCAAACTTTTTTGGACACAGAACTTCTTGTCTCCTTGGAATATCTATGCACATTCATTTATGTATTAGGTAGTACAAATTGGCTAAATCCAGTTTTAAAGTCTGGACTTGCTACTTAAAATAAATACCCAACAAAACCTTATTCCCTATAGTCATAGAACAGGGAAATTAATGCTTAGCACTCAGCACACATGACTTATATTTCTGTATTATTTTATATCCTTTACATATCCATGTCCCTCTAAACTAAGTTGGACCTCCTGTAAAAATTATGGGTGGGGTAGGCAGCTTCTGTTTTCTACTTCAAAGCTCTGCGGTTCTCGGGGAAAAATGCCAAGTACAAAACTTTCTGAGGGTGAAATGAGCACTGCGAGCTGATGCAGCAGCAGGACATGAAAAGGAAAGCAGGAACTTCATCAGCACATGGTCAAGACAAGACAAGCACACTTGAGAATCTAGGTCAGGCTCATCCAGACAGTCTGTCCTTGGATTAAAAAGGGTATGACAGCAATGGGCACGCTAATGATGAGCCTCTACCTATTTGCGGCCCGAGTCACAGTGCTGCACTATCAACTGTGCCTGTTGCACTGTCTGGATCACAGAGTTCTGTCACCTGACATGTCCCTTCACCATCCTCCTGTGTTGGCCCTTTTGTTTTCTTTTTATTTTTTAAAGATTTTTATTTATTTATTTTTGAAGAGGGGGGAGAAAGAGGAGAGAAACATCAATGTGTGGCTGCCTCTTGTTCGCCCCATACTGAGGACCTGGCCCACAACCCAGGCATGTGCCCTGCCTGGGAACTGAACCCATGACTCTTTGGTTCGCAGGCCAGCGCTCAATCCACTGAGCCACACCAGCCAGGGCAGCTCTTCTCTTTTCTATAACCTGTGTCTTTTTCTTGGTTTACTCTTATTTTGGAATGGTCACATTCTCCAGTAGTTCACTGAAAAAGGATGCAGGAGAAGTAAAAATTTTAAGAACTTGCATGTTTGAAAATGTCTGTATCCCGGCCACCCCATCTTCGGGCTGATCGGCAGTGGACGTTTCTAGAGCAGGCAATCCGCAGCAGTGAGCCCTGCACCGTGTGCTGTGAAAGCCCAGGCCTGCAATTAGCTTCCTCCCTTTGTCTCATAACCACGTCCACCAACGAGAACGAGAATCCGCCTGCTGCCCGCCTTCACAGATTCAGGAACAAGGGGAAAGGCAGTATAGGAAAGAGGCGTCAACGGAGGAGAAGTTCACATAGAGCTGAGGAAAGCAAAGAAGGATGACGAGGTGCTGAAAAGGAGAAATGCCAGCCCGTTTCCTGATCATGCTATTTCGCCGCTGCAGAGAACCGCAACAATCAGGGCACTGTAGATGGGTCTGTTGAGGACACTGTCAAAGGCATAAATAGCAACAATTTGGAAAGCAGCTCCAAGCTGCTCAAGCTAATAGGAACTGCTTTCTCGGGAACATCAGCCGTGCATAGACAACATAATCCAGGCTGGTTTGATTCCAAAATGTGTGTCCTTCTTGGGCAGGACTGACTGTGGTCCTGCTCATTTTGAACCTGCTTGGGCCCTCACTAACAGACCAAGGCTGTAGCAGGTGGAGCTGCTGTCCCAGCATTCATTTCTCTGTTGGCATGTCCCCATGCTCACATCAGGGAACAGGCCGTATGGGCTCTAGGAAACATTGCAAGTGATGGTCCCGTTTCCCAAAACACGGTTATCAAGTATGGCGCAGGTGTTGGCTCTTCCTGTAGTTCCCAACATGCCATCGTTAGCATGTGGCTACTTAGGTAATCTTACCTGGACACTTTCAAACCTCAGTAGCAACAAAATTCTGCTCCATCGTTAGATGCAGCTGAGCAGATTCTCCCTACTTTAGTTTGTCTCCTGCATCCTGATCTGGAAGTATTAGCAGGTAGCTGCTCGGCCATTTCCGACCTGGCTGACTGATGGTCCGAATGAACAGGCTGCAGTGGCCATGAGGACAGAAGCCGCGCCCATGCTTGCGAAGCTCCTAGGAGCTACTGAATTGCAGCTGTGACTCCTGCGCTAAGGGCCACGGGGAGGAAATATCATGCCTGGGACAGATGAGCAGACTCAGGCTGTACTAGATGTGAGAGCTCTTGCCGTCTTTCCCCGCCTGCTAATGAGCTCCAAAGCTAATATTCAGAGGGAAGCTGCATGGACGTCAAATGTCACAGCTGGCCACGAGGACCAGGTACAGCACATTGTGAATGATAGGTCAGCCCCATTCCTCACTGGTATTCTAAGGCCGACTTCAAGCAACAAAAGGAAGAAGTGGTGGAACAGCTGAGCAGATTGTATACCTCATTCATTGTGGCGCGACAGAACCATTGTTGAACCTCTTAGCTACGAAAAATACCAAAATTATTCGTGTTATTCTGGGTGCCATTTCAAATGTCTTTCAGGTGGAGAAACTAGGTGAAACTGAGAAACTTAATATAATGACTGAGAAATGTGGGGGGTTCGGCGAAATGGGAGCTCTGCCCCTCCATGAACAGGAGCCTGCGTACAACGCTTCATTAGACTTGACTGGGAAGGGTCTCTCTGCAGAGGAAGAGGAAGATCAAAATGTTGTGCCAGGAACTACGTCTGACGGCTGCACGGTCCCAGTTCAGGATGGTATTCCAGGGACCTTTAACTTCGAGACTGCGCAGCTGAGGCAGAGAGCTGTCTGCTGTGTACTATTGTTTGATACAAGTTTGTCTTACTGTTTCTCTCCTAAGCTCTCTTTTTAAATGGGGTTTGTTACTGTAGCACCTTTTACAACTTGAAACTATACCTGAACAGCTCCGGACTGTGCATACTGTATGAAGCTTCTCCTCTCCATGGGTTTCTTATTTCTATGTGGAATTCCGTATCTGGTAGTGTCCTGTAAACAAAGATTGAATTCTACCCTTAAACAAAAGGAAATGTCTGTATTCTACTTTTAGACTTAGTGATAGCTTGGGTAAAGAATTCTACATCGAAAACCCTTCTCTTTCAGAATTTTGCAGACAAAATTGCACTGTCTTCTTGATACCAGTATTGCCGCTTAGGAGTGGAGTCGTTCTAATTCTCGTTCATTGTTTTACCTCTAAAGTGTAATCGAATTTCCTCTTGTCTCCAGCTTCTGAAGCATCTCCATGTGCCCCTGAGGGCTACTACTACCATTTATGGAGGTCCACTGGAAGTCAACTCACTTAATCAGGCCGCTCATTTCCTTCAGCTTTAGAAAATGTCCTTGAAAGCTTTAACTAATTATTTTCTCTCCTGTGTTTTCTCTGTTCTCTTCTTCTGAATCTGCTCTGTTCAGATGTTTGCTCTCCTAGGCTAGTCCCCTAGTCTTCCTATTTTTCTCTCCATTTTCCCACCTTTGTCTTTGTGCTCTACCTCCTTTTAGAGATTTTTGTCAGCTTTAGCTTACAATCTTCCCATTGGGTTGTTAATTTCTGCTATTATATTTTTAATTTCCAAGAGCTATTTTTTTTTTGTTGTTCTCAGAAGTTTGTTCTGTAACACTGTTTGTGTTTCATAGATGCAACACATTCTCTTATCTCTTGTCTCAGTGTTCCCTGATAGAAGTTTTTTCTGACACTGGTGCTTACGGTTACAAAAGGAGGATGACAAAGCTGATTGAAAGCTCTGAGTGTGAGTGTGGGGCTTGCCAGTTTTAAGCTTCCTTTGAGTGGGTCATTTCTTGGGGAATTACTTATAGCAATATATTTAGGTCTTTGTTCCAAGGGGCTTAGGTTCTTGTGAAAATAGTTTTCCTACCTCCTGCCTAGAAAATAAAGATCTGGCTCCCAGGCAGCTGAAGTCTAACAGGGAAAGGGGCTTGGTCTTCGGGGTTCAGCATTTGTTTGCACGTGCTCGCTTAATCCCTTAGTAGTTGGTCCGGCGCCCACGTGGTCAGCTATACCTGAGATCCCTCATTTTAGAGACCATCTACCTACCTTCTCCAGAAATCACACCTTCACACTTTGGCCAGAGGGCGTGGACCTAGGTGGGGATTGAGGGCAATAACTGTTCAATCTGTTTGGCAAGGAGGAGAAAGCCAAAGATTTAACTGCATTTCAAATACCTGTTTTTAATTCTCTTTATCTAGCACCAACCTCCAAAAGCAACACGTGGAGAAGGTTTTATAACCTTATTTTAAA